GCGTGTCCTTTTTGGTCTACATGCCGATTTTGAGGCGATTTGAAAGGGTCCGGAATCTGCATGCAGATCCGTAATTCGTCAATTACGGGAAAAGTTTCATATTTGCCGCGGAATGGACTTCGGATTCGTGATCAGCGTGTCCTGTTTGGTCTACATGCCGATTTTGAGGCGATTTGAAAGGGTCCGGAATCTGCATGTACGAGATTGATATCAATCTGCATGCAATTATACAAACGTGATTACTAGTTAGATCTAGCGTCAGAGCTGCGTTTACCTTGCGCATGCTAGATGCCTAGCTGTTCGTTATTAGTTATTTATGCCTAATGATTTTGCTCTGTGGCTTACAGAAAATGTTTAGCTAAAGATCTTTCTCCGGAAAAATAAGGACATTTTTTAAGTAAAACGTGGTGTGATAGAAAATATTCATAGAAAAGGGTAATTAGTCTTCCACGATACAACGATGCAAGCGATGCAAGTTGCAACGCGTAACTCATCGATGGCGATTGATAGCCTCTTTTCTCTACTAAAGATTTCTGGGTTTGTTAGCAGCATCCGGAAAGATTTGTGTCCTGAGATTGAATTTATTGCCCGTCCATTTCCAATTTGGTGCCGGGAAATGGCCGTTTTAAAAACAGCCCGGGTCCTCCATCGATAACAGGCCCGCTTCCATCGGTCCGGCGGCGCTCACTGCCCCTGTATCGCTGTCGGGCCCGATTGTTCTGCCGGCCGATTGGTCGGCGCCATTAATCACCATGGCAACAAAGGGCGCGCGTGCCGGAACGCGCGCCTCAATGGCGCCCCCCGTTCGGGAGATGCACAGCAAGACAGCTGGCCGGGCGCGGCTTGTTGTCGAACACAGCCGGACGGTGCGGCGCGAGCGGACACACGGGGCGCACATCTGTGCGACGCGGCGCCGTGACTGGCTCTGCCGGCGCTGATCGCGCGGACGCTCCGTCATTATCCCCCGATCTGCCGGCAAGTGGCGGCATTGTTTCACCAGAATGGATGGCCGGCCGGCCGGGGAGCAGGTGCAGCCGGCGCCCAGTCAAGTGCTGCGCCGTGTCAGGCTCGACAGAGCACCCAATTTGCCGATTAGATGTAAACGGCCGACCGGTCTGCCGGCAGCGGCGGCGGCAGCGGCGGCGCTGACCACTTGGCCGTAATGAAAACGTGGTGGCCGGTGGGTATGGCCGCTCAGCGGCGGCTGCGCCGAGGGAGAGGAGCGTGGCACAACAGCCGCCCCCGGTGACCAGACGCGCCCTGAGGGCCGCCGCGGTGGTACGGTAATGGATGTAGGATAGTGAGTAGGTAACGCCAAATAAATGAAGTACGTTGCTTTGTCAGAAAAAATGTTTATTTTACTACTTAGAAGACTATTATCTGTCAAACATTTGATCAGGCATTTTCATACCGATTAGGATGCGGATTAATCTATGCAATTTTGCCAGTATCTACTACTCAAGAGTTTCTTGGGTCTCCTGATTTAACTAAAATACATCAACTTTCGCTCGTCGTGACTCTGGCGTACACGAATTATTTCAAAAGCATAAACCAATTGCTGTAGCGAGGAATCAAATGAATATTCGGACGCGTGTTCGGGCATCTCATTTGCATGCCATTTGCGGTTGGTGGCTGGTTGTGAATCGAGGGCGAGGCATTAGATAATTCGAATCTTCTCTATCGGTGTGTGAATCTGCCCTCAAACGATAAAGCAATTAGTGATCTCAGTAAAGCAGAACAGTGATCACCGTCACTGTTCCTGTTCAAATGCAAATACACAACCTAAAAAAACGTGTGAACAAAGATTCTGTACTTCTCACCCATGTTGTGAATCTCTAACGCGCGCGGCGCCCCTCTCCCGCACACCCCCGCGCCGAAGTGGCAGATGGGACGATGGACTGCTGCATCATCGAATAGCGATTTAACAAGGCCACCGCCGCCTCCGTGTCAACAAAGGCAGATGTGCGCGGGGAGAACCCACGCTCCCAGCCGGGCTCGGGCGGCCGGTCGGTGCGACAGGTCCCTCTCCGGCCACCTGCCCGCGGCACCGGCTCTATTTACCCGGGCGTTTACCGTGTGTGGCTTGCGGCTGATCCTCCGGAGCCGGGGCAGGCTCCGCTCATTGCCGGTCAGGCCACGTGCGCCTCGCAAACACGCCGAACGGCCGCCAGTGTTGTGCTAACTAGACGATTCTCCAGAAACAGCCACATAAAGTGGATTGGTCGAGGATTGGCGCGCGGTGCGCCGGCCAACTTGGCCAAGGTGGAGGGGCACGTAGCGGCGTCTCGGCCGCCGCACGGGCTGCAGAGCCGCGGGTGGAATAAAACATGAGCGTGCGCCGCGGAAGACGAGCCGCTCATACAGAAGGAGGACAATCTCGGAAACGGCCTGCGATGGTCGGAACGGATTGTAGAGCTTCTGAATTATGCTCGAAGAAGATCTGCGTCGCATCGTTAAAATTCGTGTGTATTGCTTAATACTTCTGCATGATAACGTAGGAAAGATTTAACTAACTAGGCACCCAAGATGAGATATGTGGGCCCATCGCTAGCCGGCATATTATATTGCTGATGTGGCTCTGATGAAAATGAGCGGTAATATCGATCTGTCTCTTGCATTAAAATGTGCAGAGAGGACAAAATACAAATATTATGGACATCCCCATCAAATAAAATAAAAATACGTCCCTTCTTAGTTTTTGAACTTTGAAAATAAAACAAAAATGCTTTGGAAACTATAGCCTAACATGGAATTTTAAACATCACATTGTCGCAATCATCTCACAGCCAAACTACGTTGGAGCCTACACCATGTTACATCATCAAGTTTCCAGGCTACGTCGTGCGCTTTACGAATTAATGATGCCGACTTTATGAAGCACACTGTATCATCCATCATGCCGCCATCTCAACCCGCTGTCGGATGATGATATATGCAAAGACGCGCTGCAGGATAGATGAAAGGGCCCGGCAACTTTTTACATGTTACGAGTATATGTATGATGTTTGCAATCTATGTTGTAAACATCAACCGTCTTTATGTTTAAACGTATTGAGCGATTCACTTTTGCTTTGGCGTCATAGTTCAGCAAAGCGGATTAACTTGCATTTACGAAACCAGGTGCTTTCCACTGTTCCCGCCTGAAATTCTCATAAATTTAAGAATAAATATGCGCATTGAAACTTGATAAGCATCATGAGTACAACAAACAAGGCAACATCCCACTATATCTTTCGTGCTATAAAACAGAGGAACAAGGGTATCAGTGGAGCTCATCGGCCTTGTTTAATTATATGTTTCATAGATGGCGCCAGTAGTTGATGCCTGAAGTGGTAGACTGCACCGCATTACATGACTACTTCAATGGTGGGAGAATAGAAGCATGATCCATGCAGTGGAAACTGCAGATCACCAAAAATGAATGAGTGAGATTGGAGGTGTAATTGGAGCTTGATTTGAGCGTACAATATTTCCACGGCTTGATGAAATCACCCCGTGGCATAACCGCGACCGCACATTACCACATGTTTTACAATTAGCGCTTCAATTCTACAGACGCAGGCACACACAGCCAGCACCGATTGACAAGTGGTATAACATCCGAATAATACCACCTCCAGCAGCCCCGCTCCGCCGAATCGCATCCGTTCAGTGCTGCTCAGCGGCGCGGCAGTAACGCGATTAGCCGGCGCCGGGGCCCGTGCTAGTGCTAATCCCGTCGGCCGTGCTAATTGTTAGCTGGGCAGGCCTGCTGTCGGGCCGATCAGCGCGCGGTACGACGCGGCCGACCAAGCGGAATAGCGGCGAGCGGCGCTGTGAAAACACCAAGCGCTCCCCTCCCGACGAGCGCCAGCGACGCGCCTTAATCGGCCGACAAAAAGCGAATGTTTTCGAATGAGTGCCGGCGGATGGTGGTGTTTAATTCATCGCTGGCGGCGCTTTGTGTCGCGCGGATATCGGCCGGTTTTGTGGTGGCTAAATTATCCCTTCTGTGGCTTAGTTAGCACAAGCTGGGTCGATTAAGCGAATAAAGACACCAACGATTTGATACCAGCCGATGTGTTAATCATTTGCGTATGATTTTAGACGTTTGGCTGTAAATGCTACGGACCGTTTTGTGCTTATTACTCAGGAACATTTTTAGACGTTGCTTCTAAAAATCAAATAAAATTCATCATACTACATCTTGTGCTATATTCCCATGCATATCTCTGAAAGACAAAAAGAAAAAACTCGCATAATGCGTAGTAAGTTACTTCGTTAAAAATGAACATAAAGTTAAGTTGCAAGGTTCAACTCTTTTACAGCGGTATATCTGAAAGTTGCAAATACGAGTATATCGAACAGAACGGAAATACTGCAGCCTACTCAGTTATTACCACGATAATTATGGACTGACACGACATTACTTTAATATAAGAGCATGCCCCATCTCAGGCATCACCGATATTCTTTTACTCTTTTCCTGGTTGCGGCATTCTGGTCCTGTCCCCTGACCAGAACACCTTCACGACAGATGGTCAGGCGAGCGACTCACCACCCGTCGTTCTGTTGGTGTTCCATCGGGTGACACTGTTTACACAGGCCGTTATAGGGGTGAGTGATAACTGATAACCCTTGCCCTTCTGCTGTCTCCTGGTGGGAGTGCGGAGAGAGAGAGAGAGAGAGAGAGAGAGAGAGAGGGGGGGTAAGCTCGGTGAGGGAGAGGGTTATAGGGAGGTCCTGAGCCCTCGTGCAGAGACAGATTGTCAAGGAGCGCGCGGCCAGGCCGTGTCAATATTATCCGGAGGGCTAGCAGACTGGCGGTAGGGAGAGAAGCGTTGCGAGCTTACGTCTTTCTTTGTCTCTGAATTTGCCGTCTGTTTTAAAAGTGAAATCCGTTATTGTATGGGGTATGCCGGTTATGAAGTTTTTTATTATCAAAGCAGAATGGTGACGATACAACATGGCACTGCTCCATCAGACTTGATAAATATTAACTTGGCGCTGCCTTTCCACAGGTGTGGTTTCAAAACAGGCGAGCCAAGTTCCGAAAGCAGGAGCGAATGAACCAGCAGAAGCAGGCCGTGAATAACAACAACACAAGTGACTCGAACGGCAGCAGCCAGCCGGCTAAGACGGACACCAAGCCAGTGAGCGCACAAAACAAGGACGCCAAGACGGCTCTCAGTGGCCCGGATGGGGACGCCAAATCTCACCCAGGTATGGTCATGGCTCATTGTATACCTAAAGCCCTGGATGTTCATGTGGAATAAGTGCACAGTGCGCACCATGCAGAGTACAACCAAACTGGTCTATCTATGTTTTCCAGCAGTAGCCTTTGATCCATCCCTGATCTCCAGCGCTGAATTCATTCATCTCCAGCGGTCACCTTTAGTCCATCTCCTGAGTTTCCGGTGGTCCGCATCGGTCCACCTCCGTTCTCCAGCGCCGGACATTTAGTCCATCTCCTGCAGCGCGCACCGCGTCCCGCGTGGCCCGCCTGTTTACCTCTGCTCCGGTGTGTCTCGGCCGCCGCTGCCGCTGCCCACACCGACCCGGCAGACACTAACTCAGATAAATGGCGACGCGCGGGCAATTTTCCCGATTAAACGCGCCCGTCCGACGGCCCCGTACTCTGTCCCCGTGCGCGACACCACCGTCCGCCGCACGTTCAGGTGAAGTTATTGCACGGTCTCTGGGACTGTGTCAGATACCTATGTTGGAGGCTAGATTCTAAATCCTGAAAGTATTTGATGTTGTATATTTGAACGCTGTTTTTCACAAAAGTGAATCCTGAATTGGAAATTTATCTAACTTGTTAGAGACGTCAAAACAAGATACTGTTATCAATGTGTATTGTGTATTGTGTATAACACTTATCGCCTTGCTTTTACTTCCTTTCGTATATTTGTGATTTTAAGCTACATTTAGGTATTTAGGAAATGTGAAAGTGCAACAGCATCGAGTTGCTTCGTGCAAGCTTGGCCATGGCAATACAAAAGGGCGCATAAAGCGCTATAACTGGAATCATAGACGTCTATATGGACCATGACGTCTATGAAATCTAGATATAAAGATCTATAGTTATCTAGTCTAGCCTCTGAATTACGAAGTCTGTGCCGGAACAAACACGCTATTAACCAGTGCACCCTCTTCTCTCGTTGCAGTTTCCTCCCCGGACGCCAACAAATGGGCGCCCGTCGCCGGTAGCTCCACCAGTCCGTCCCCCCTGCAAGCACCGCCGCCACCACCGCCCCCACCACACTCGGGGGCGAGCCCGCCTCCGCCGCCGCCGCCACCGCCTCCGCCGCCACAGACCTCGGCAGGTCACGTGTTCGGAGCACCGCCCCCGCAGAGCGCGCTGCCTGGGGGTCCGTTCTCCAGCCTGCTTAACTCGGCCGCTCCCTACCTGCTTGGGGGTGAGACCAGAGGTCTGACGCACCATCATCTATTCTGAGTGGGAGTGGGCCCGGGGTGGTTCGGTGTTTGGTAGGACAGGTGGCTGGGTGAATGATGAGTTTAAGCTGTCAAAACTCCGTCACTATAGATTGCGATGGGACTCGGACGATGGACTATCTTGTGGTCAGTGAGAAAGATGACTCGTGTTAGCTGGAAATCAACCACGTGTGTTCATACTGCTTCACTTAGGTATTCTTGACTGAGAGATCTGTGGAATGGCGTATGCCGCTAGGACTGTAACAATGAAATGATCTTCGCTCAGTGCTATGTACGCCATTGCAGTCAATCATATTTTAGACGGCAAAATCACCTTTTGAGATGTACGTATGCGTTTGTCAACCACTTTCCAATCACCGTGCATTCCAAAACTGATGCGCGTTGGGCACACAAGAGCCCTCTGTCGGCCAGAAATGCAGCTAACCGACTATGTAGGTGTCGCCCTGCAGTTGCGGCCGCCACTGAATAAGGAGCGAGGGCTAGTCGCGTTCTTCGAAATCAAAGACTAGTCAGAATTAATAGAATCCTAGCCTGTCGTCCTAAACGGAATGTCGAAGAGTAGGAAAAGATATGATGTGTAAGAAGTTGCATCATTTGAGTAAAATTTGAGCATGGTACACCCTCGTCACCCATACCGTCTGTAGGGTAGGAAACAGAGAGTGAAAGACTTGCATCTGATAGCAGGAATCTGCTGCCTATTGTGGAACGCTATTTCCTAAGAAACTTATGGCGCCTTTTAACCCGGCAGTTGCTGGGGTATTTCGCCACCCACCGTTTGCTGGGGGGGGGCGTTAAACGCCCCCAGCCGATAACTCGAGAACCAATAGGCGCAGCGAAACGCACGAGGCGGCAAACGAAAGAGCGCGACGAGACGCTTCAGATGAGTACTTTAAAGTTGAATTTTGAGGTCACAGGTCGGGTCAAGGTCAGGTCAAACACCTGAAATCGGGCTTTCAGTAGCATGGACTTCAGGACTCCGCAATGGGCGCCTCTCGCCATAAACTCTGTGAAAACGGTGCACAATCCATCTTATAAGGCCTACAAGAGTGTCAGCTCCATGTAGGGGTCAGTCAAGCATAGGTCAGGGTCAAGGTCAGGTCAACCGGGTAGGCACATATCCCCGAAAATCAAAACTGATATTCGCAGCCTGTGACACATGTTTTATGGGTAATTTGGGGCGTAGAACACGATGGTGACATTCATTTTATCATATGTGTACGTGTTTGGCTCAAAAAGTTCAATTTAAGAAATTCATGTAGCATGGTCGTGAAGTAGTCACGAAAAATTGCCAAGATTCAGTTCAAGATTATGGAAAATGCGGAACGATAATCAATAATCGAAGATAGCCATTTGATTGATCAGGGTATTGGCAGTCTAATGGCGTTTACGGCATGTCTGTATGTCTATTCTGTGATTTTATATGATTTTTTGAACATATGCCGTTTTTGGTCGAAAACTCAGAAATCATGACGTCACTAAAACCTCGATATCTCAAAAATTTTCCGACCGATTTTTTTGAAACTTTGTCACAATAAACTTCAATCAATTCCCTACAGGTACCCAAAATTTGGCGCGCCTGCGGCGCGCCGTTTTTATGCTATGGCCCGGCGAAAAAAGTGGGGGCGTTTAACGCCCCCCCCCAGCAACTCGCGGGTTAAGTACCTATATGGGAGCTGAATAAAGCAGCCGATTTCAAAAAGGACGCACAGCGCTTAGACAACACCTTCAATAGTTTGACCTTTTCTAGATGATACGAGCAAGTACTATATGCTTGTATGCTTGACCAATAAATCAAAATAACAAAACGACCATTTTGCTTCCGACAATCCAGCTGTCGCTCTTTTATTGTGGGAGATGAGTGTTTGCCAAAATGTTGAACAGAAAATAAAAAGTTACTCGTATTTTAAAAGTAAACTCGTAAAAGTTACATCGTACGTTATTAAGAAAATTGGCTTAGTGCTTTCGATCAAGCTACCATTGCATGTGCAAAATGAGTGGTAAAGAACGAGACAAAAGCTGGCAAATTGCATCCTTTCAGCAATTTCACTGAGAAAAGTGATGGTCTTTATGCATGCTATTATGCCGCCTCTGACAAATGATATATCACAACAAACGACCATTAGTGATTCACAAAAGCTGGCATGCCAGTCGCCGGTCAGAGGCTATTTTCAACTGGTCTACCATTTGCCACTGGCATTGCGTGCATAATTGTGATGACTATGTGGCTATAGACTTACTTTGGGAGCTGCTGTGTAGGTGTATGACGACAGGCTTTGAACGTAAATCATATCGTGCTTAGCTTCAGACTTAAGGTAATTCCTCGGTTTGACGCTCAGTAGAAAAACGATGCATTGACACGTTAGCAACAGCACTGGTTCCATAGAATCGATGCAACATAGTGATGTTTGTACCTATGTAGCAAAAACGGTGTACAAATGTGACAGAACCAGTAAGGTACAGTAGGATGGTAATTGTTCTGACATATTTTACTTCCATCCGAAACGAAATATTTAAAAGACGAGTGAATGACACAATAGGGCACGGCTTTCTTGAACTGCAATCGTCGGTACTTGGAGGTTATGATGTGTCCAAAACATGGAGTAGAATGTTGCCAATTCGCGCACCATGAGTTTCGTCTTATATCATCAGTTGTGACATGGGCGATTGCTTCGTATATGAAAGGTGAGGGAATTGATGATCTCAATGTACAGTTGATATGTACGTCTTCGTGAACTTATGAAGAAGTATCTGTATGCGTTTGTGTGTGTGTGTGGGGGGGGGGGGGGGGGGAAGGGGAGGGACGATGCGTAATTTGGTGTTTACTGTCAATTGGTGTACCGAAGGCACCCGGGCGTTCCTTGCTACATGTTTATATGTAATATATACTCAACATAATGTAAATGTGAATACATGTGGTGATATCACGATTGTGTGTTTAATGTTGTTTTCAAAAGGAATAGTGGCTGATTCCATCTGGTAAGGGTTAAGACCAAAGCTGATAGCAGACATTGCTTCACGATATCCTGATATCTACATATACCATAGAGGTGCTCCTATCGTGTCAGCGCTGCTTGACGACTGTTTTTAGGGGAGCGGGGGGAGGGGGTCTCTAAATGTTTCTGCATATAGGTAAGTCGGTATGGACGAGAAAATTATAGAAACCTGCCATAACTAGAAATCAAAATTAAATAGAGCCATCCAGTTTAGAGCAACTAGAAACCAGATCATTCGAGGACTTACATAAATCACAATCTGAACCTCCGCTCTGATCTGAGGTCTTCAAAGTCATAACTCCAAACTACGTCTATGTTCCGTACGTCATAGCTCCAAACTATGTCTAGCCATGAGTCATGTGCCATATGCTGGCTCAGGAAACCGTCAGCATGTAACAGTTTACGCCATCATATACGACATTATACAGTGACGTGTGAACTGCATTATTCGTTGCAGTGAAGATATCGTTAATTCAAATGGTTGAGGGCATCGGTAGCTGGAGTCTTACCACTGCACTGGTGAAATATGAGCTAGTGATTAAAGTGCGGGTCATGCAATGAAGGTTTGAAATGCTTTTAATTAGGTCATGCGATCCATATCAGCACCTGCACCAGCACTTTAGCCAGACATGTTCATAACCAGGCCAGACCCGGCTGGCCGACACACTCTCTGGCACAGAACGTTGCACATGGGACCAACAATTGATTTTCTAGATTTTGTTGGTTTCTTTATAAGGAGGTTAATCATTATGCTGGAGAGGTCGCAATATGACTTGACCTTAGGTCAACGATATCTAAAGTCCAAGATTACCATTTTGTTCACCATATCACCCTCATTGATGCTGAATGATTCAAAGCAATGGTCTAGTCAGTGTATCCGTGGAGAGCATTTGATTATTCGTAGAGGTTAGGTTATTAGACCTGTTCTGGTGACCTGACCTTGAATGATCTGGGTAATTTTCACAAATGCGGAAAACTTGTAATAGGTATAAACTATAAAGTGTGCTAAAACAGCGGGGTGTGTAAGAACAGCCCCACATCCCTGCGCCGATTCATATCGCAAAAACATCGTTTGAGTCGTGCGTGTTGAACAACCCTTTCAAAACTTTTTATGTACGCACGCTTGATAACAACATGGTCATTTGCACGCAGGTGTACCGAGAGCCGAATAAATATAAATCAAGACGTCTGCACTGTTAATGGCATGCGGTTTTAGTGTCCTGTGCCTCCGTTCCCCAATGGTGTTCGGTTAATTCGTGAGCGGACCACAAAAATCACCCATAACTATGGCTCGACGGGTTCAGAGTATACAATGGCCCCGTAAATTACGTTTCATGGCTCTAGTTCCGTGGCATTGGCAGGTTTGAAAGAGTCGAAGAGCTTGTCGATAGGAAAAGTTTGTAGGGTTTCCAAGGTAAACACGTACTGTAAATGCATCTTTTCATCGTCGATAGTGATGCGCTTCTTCAGTCTTGTCGTGTCATTGACAGCGACAGCACAGACTTCAGTAACGCTGCGTCTCTGATGCTTGTATACTTTGCATCTACGGATCACCGAGCAGTCAGACCAGTGATTGCATCAAAGTCAAGATACCAAGGAATTTGCTGAAACATTCACCAGGCTGGATTTCAGCTGCTTAGAGTGCTTTCAGTCTGAATTGAGCATCAGGAAGCAGCCAGTTGCCCTAACGGAAAATGTGTGCCTCTGTTTTGGGAATGGAGCAGCCACGCATCTGTACTGCCATGCTACTGCTGTCACTGCTGTTGTTACTTCTTCTCTGGACGGCTGAGGCTTGTATGGAAACGGCCTGGAAAAGCGGACGGATGGACTCAGCCCAGCAGTTGGAGGCTGTAACAATCTCGTCCGGGCAGGCCAACAGCTGCACCTGCTGCGCGCTCTGTTACCAGCGGCAGACCTGTGCCAGCCTCAGCTTCAACTCTGTGACCTCCAAGTGTGAGCTGTACAGCAGCGTGGCCAGCTACGCCACCCTCCAACCGGACTCGGACAACGAGTGGAGCTACTACGTGATGCCGGGCCGCTCTGAAACCGGCCAGTTCTGCCGGCAGGACTCAGACTGCGTCACGAGCGGCGACTTCTGCCGCGGCCGCTTCTGCACCTCCCTGGACAAGGTGACCTGTCGCACCATCGCTGACAACTTCAGGGGCATTCAGGACTATCCTGCTAGAATTTCACTCTACGGTTGGATCAAAGATCAACACGTGAGATTGGCGTGCTGGTCAATAGACGGTCAACGTTTTACGGCTATCCTGTGGAGCGTAAGGGGAAATCAGGTCAGCAGAAGCACATTCATCGAGTATAACCAGCAGATGGAGCGTGGGAAGCTAGGACAATCCCTTCTGGGTGTTGCCGAATATTTGCGCCAGTCTGAAGTCGATCCCACCTATCGTATCTGCATTTGGATTGTTGATGCAAGCAGCCGTTTGCTCAAGCTGCTGGAATACGAAGCTCCCCGAGACGAGCCCGTTATTGCTCCGAAAGCCCGCACAGATCTCTGGCTGACTGCTCAGATAACCTCCTATGTTACATGGACCCCATCCATGCTATGGAAGCCGTCGTCCGGCACCGTTCTTCTGACCACAAACGC